GATCTTGCAAGAACCGACCGCAACTTCCTTCCTAAGCTGCGTGTGACTTCTTCCTCTTCCCAAAGTTGAAAATTCAGCTAAAGGGAAGGAGATTTGAGACGATAGAAGAGATTCAGGCAGAATCGCAGATGGTGCTTGACAGGCTGACAAAGAAAGATTTCCAGGGATGCTTCCAGGCCTGGCAGCGGCGCTGGGATCGTTGTGTTCACTCCCAGGGGAACTACTTCGAGGGTGATGGATGAATTTAATACCTGAGATAAGTGTACGGGTTTTTATAGGTGCAGTCTTGAAACTTTCTGATTGCACCTCGTAAAATGTTGAAACGTAGAAGTTAGGCCGTTTGCAAGTGACGCAGAGCAATTTATAGAAATTGTCAAAAGGAATTTTGTTCCATGATTCACCTGAAGCGAATCTGGCGATAACCGTTAACGCCTACATCGTACGTCGAAATATATGTTAAGGAGTTATCAGAAAATCTTATTGGTGCGAGTCTTAACGGTGAGTGAAGTTTTATGTCAATATTCAGGTCCATGTTAGAGGATTCTGGAACATTAATTACGCCGTCTGACGTATCAGTTTCGTTATGTGAAGTAAAGAAATCCAGATTGAAATAATCGAAAAGCTGAACGGTTGGAGATCTTTTCTTGTCGAAATTGCAGTGGCCTTTAGACTGTTTCATGGTTCCATAAAAAAACAAAAAGCCATAATTCTGGTGAAACGCGTTGTAGAGAGAAGGTACAATGTATTTTAATGTTAACAAATCACGTCCTTTCCGAATTAGCACTTCTTTTCCATTGTGAATCTTCTCGAGGAAGAAATGGTTTCTGCCATCGATTAGTTGGCGCATGCGCAGATATATCGAACTCACCTCTTCGCTCCTCTGATTAGGTTGAGCATGAGATGAAGGCAGGCAATTCAACCACGTGTAAGGCATCCTGTAAGAAACATTAACACAGATTAAACTATTGTGGGGCGTTCAGTGCAGAAAGAAACATTAACACAGATTAAACAATTGTGCCGTGTTCATTGAAGGGAATTGAACTGGGTGAAAAATTCCAGTGACCTTAGTCTACGTCACACGAAGAGGTCAAGAGGGACGAAGGCGCCATGTGCTCTGTTACTTTCCCTCCGACTCCCCTATCCAGATTTCTGGATTCCACCGAAATTTCTTTGTCTGTTTGTAACTGCAACTAAGCTCGGAGATATTTTGCGACAATCAAGCTCAGGCCATGCGTGTGTCAGGGGTCCGTAGTCTAACTTCTGCTCAAAGAATTTTCAAACGAAAAATGTTGTGATTGTATGTGACCACACACTGTCATCGGGAGGCTCCCACCTCGCAGAATCTGCACCCCTGAGGCCAGTGGGTTATCGTACCCAGACAATCTCCGTATGATACTCAAGATTACAGAACCTCATGACCTGATAAAGCGTTGCAAAATACACATAAAAGTGCATGAACAACTATTTTCACTCCAACAAATTCTTAATATTCAAAACGTACCAAAGTCCTTTAAGGGAATCAGATTTAAAAAATGAAGTACCCGTTAAAGACTTTCGAAATTATCGTCCAGTGGGGGGCTCTTAAATTGGGGGGGGCTGGACAGTGGCCTATTTTAACAACCGTTTACCTCACACGGTTTTCGACACGGACACAAACATCGCTTTTCTTTTTTTCGTAACATCACGTACGAGAGACAGACAGACGGACAAAAGGAACGCGCTGCCAATAACTTAACTTATCCTGTTTTCACGTTGAAGTGCTATGCTTAATGCCTCTCAGCAATCGGCTGGGATTCTTTGATCAAAGAAACAAAAATCCCACAACAGTGTGGACAGTCGTTCATGGAGTCTCACGAGAAAGTCAGCGAGGAAAACCTCGATCAAGATAACCGTCTCCGGGTTCAGATTTGATATTTCTTCTTGCAAACGCAAATTCACGATCAGCAACGAACAAGGGAATTCATAACAAACAGCAAGAATTGCTCGATTGAAGGAAGTGAACAGACGATGGATCTCGGCTGGGATAAACGTAGGTTTTAGTAATGTGCGTTTACGTAATTTGCGATTAAGCCTCCTTGCTAAGTTTCCGGATTACTCTAACTAAAGAATTCGCTGTGACTGACAGCACCAGTTTCAAGTTGAACAATAATTTATAGCACGGCGAGAAAGAAGCATTTTTAAAGTAATACATTTAAGACTTCCTTTTGTGCTTTCCTTCAACTTTGAGCACAGAAGATTGTACCAAACACCCAAAAAATATCGTAAGAATACTTCAGACCTGTTTAGGGGCTCCAGTTTTGTAGCCGAGCATTTTACAAGCGACTCTGAGTAGCTTCAATATTCTGACTTCGCCATTGGACCTGACGCTTAAACGAGGCCTTCTCAAAAGTATTTTGCAAAATCATTCCAAACTGAAAGCGTACGAATACAATCGCACAGCCACAGTGCGTTGGATCTATTTTGCGAGCGCTGTCAGTCACGCATGAAGAACACTGCGCTCTCTGGAGACCGACAAACTAACTCAACTCCCTGGTAGGAGAACCCGCAGGTCCAACGCCGACAACACCAAAGTCCGAAACCGGCCACGATCCTGTGCCAACTTCGTCCATTTGCCATTCTCACATCCCACCTCCCTTCGATCCATCTCTATTTTATCCCCCATCTCCTCCCTTGTCTGCCCAGTGGTCTTTTTCCAGAAAGATTCCCTGCCAAAATTCCGTATGCACCCCTTGCCCCCTACCCCCTGCGTGTCTGGAGTCCGACAGTGTTGTTAATTCGCAGTAGAAACTGAAGATGGCGAGTTCTTTATTGATAAAAGGATATCCCTATCGTAGGGCCCCAAATTACCTATAATGAGCCTCGATGTGGCATTCCGTTCCATTGACTGTCACCGCCTCTTCTTGTGGGGTCGTCCTGACAGGAGTCCTTGTCATGCCATGGCAAAGATCATTAATCTTTGCATCAGAGATGGAATAATTGCGTCCAAAATTATAAGTTCTTATCTTGAAGTGGTTCATGAATTTCGAGCTCCGAATAAGCAGTTTGATGATTTCGTTTTCCCGAGTTGGGCTGAGCATGAAGAACCCCAAGAGGGTTGGCGAATGGCGGGCCAGTCGCAGGAAACTAAGGAACTCGTCCAGCAAACTGCCGGCGTAGAAGCACGCCCGATGTCCAGAGCCGGAGTAGGGGCTGTGAATGTGTCTCCAGGTGACGGCTCTGACTGCGCGGTACTGCAAAACAAAGGGGCAACTGTCAGACGGGCAGCTGACCTCATCGGCTGTCAACTTAACTAACGATGTCCTTCAATTCACGAGTATGAATTTCTGATAAGTAATGAGCAGCTGTTTACAAACCCTGCAGTTGGTATGTCGTCGTTTAAATAATTGACGAATGAACAGTCGATGTTGCTTTGGGTGGTTTTCTGTTCATGCCATTTGTAGCTGACTCTACTTTACAATAAAATGAAAGGAGACCGGGGACCGGTGGAGGGTTTTGGTTAATTCGGTGATGAACCTTCGGGTTACTTAAGCCTAGTGTTTAGTTAGAACCGGGTACCATATATTTTAAGCAGACGATCTGGATACACGCAGGATTCATATGAGAAATATCACTTCTGTTTCTAACTAACTAACTAGAAGCCTTACGGAAGAAGGTTCATCACCGAATTAACCAAAGCCCTCCACCAGTCCCTGTCCTGGGTTAACAAAATTCAGTCTCCTTCGACTCCTATCTCCTATCCCGCCTGATATTATCCTCCCATCTACGTATAGGTCTCCCCAGCAGTCTCTTCCCCTCAGGCTTCCCAAATAGTGGACCCAACCAACTAGATGGCTTAGGGAACCCGAAGGTTCATCACCGAATTAACCAAAGCCCTCCACCGGACCCTGTACAGGGCCAACAAAATCCAGTCTCCTTTAACTCCTATCTCCCATAGATCCCGCCTGACATTT